GTGATTAATCCCAAATGTTATCACTCACCTAATCAGATCATTATATTACACACATGACCAGTGAGTCATCAATGGGACCAATTATTTATAACATGCGTGCTGTTTTTTTGCTTGATGTTTTTATTTTTACCTATGGAGGTGAAGAAGTCATCGTGGGCAGAGAGCGACTGTAGGCAGCTCAGCAATAATAAACACCAACATGGCAGCTCCATCCTGAGGAGAGAGGGAGACCATGAAATATATTCTTAAGAAAGTGAATTTGAACATTGTAACCAGACAGAACAACTGGTTCTCATGTCAGACACATCAAAGCCACAACTTCAAATTAGAGGCTGCCATGCTCCAACATCTCTTACGAGTACAGAAGTGTCTGACATCTACCATCTGGATTACTTGAGCTACCTCCCAGTTAGCCACATCAAACATTCCAGGCTAAACTTCTCATCCAAAGTCTTGTTTTCCCCGTTGTTTTAAATCTCATAGATGAATATTATTGTTGCTTTCCTTCACTGCCTCTTTTGCTGCTTAAACTGATTTGAAAACCTGGTTGAGGATAATCCACAGGAATGAGAATTCGACATGAAAGCGACTGTAAGTCAGATCTGTGGATTGTCCAAAGTAACTGGGGCATTATTTGTGGAAAGTAGAGCTAGAGGGAAAAAAAAAAAAAGGGTTGTCAAAGGCTTGACCTGAAAAACTCAAGAGAATTGCGTTAATTCTTTCAAAAGTGCAGCTTTGCAGCCACCACACAAATCCAAATATAAGTCTGTGGTGATTGTTACTGTGTCCGGTCTGGCTTTGGAGTTGGCACGGTCATAACTACTCTGGACTTGAGGCAGACAGACGGAAATTATAAGAGAACAGAGACATGTTTATATACCATCACTGAAACTATAAAGAGGACTTGTGAGGTACTAAATTCTTGCAAATGGGCAAAATTGATTTGTGCTTTTAAAAAAAGAATCAAACTTTTGATTTATATAAAAACGTATACCAATATAAATCACAGGAGACTCATGTGAGAATCGTGCTTTTAAGAAGTCCTGGATTAACACACAGCTCGCCTGATCTGCATTAAAAACTAAAACCCTTTTTAGGCAAATTTTCTAACCTTCTCAAAATGTTATTAAAGTTTGTTGGTAAATTTGAGAAATGTCTACACTTAAAGGAGCAATATAGAACTCTGACACCTAGCTTTTAATATGGGAAATGCAGTCCAAATTCCAAACTTTGAAAAGAGCTGTCTCCTCTTGCCCCCTCCTCCCTAGAGTCAACATGCGCACAGGTTGCTATGACGCGACACAGACGATTCAGTATTTCATCCAGCTCTGCATCTGTCTCAGATAAAGATAAATAATTTATCTTAGTTTTCCACTTTTCTACAGCATCAAGCTTTTTAGAGAAATTGAGAGGCAGTTCGCGTTCATCGCTGCATCACCTGTTGGTTTGCCGTTTGCCTGGCATACCGAGGGGCGTCCAACAACCGTGTGTGGTGCATTCAAACCGCCTATCTTCTCTGGTAAAAACAAACAATTCCGCACCAGAATTGAAACTTAGACTGACAGAGAAGCCAGTACTTCAAAATACAATGTTTTCTTAATGTCTGATTTTATAGTAAGGTCATTTTATGATTTAATTCAGTAGATATCTTACATATTGGACATTTAACAAAACAATGGTACCGAAAGTAAATCTGATCCTTGCCAAATGCCTGTTTAGCAAATTGTAGTGAAAATGCTTTCAAAGACAAAGCAAATAGACTTGGAGGAAGGTGATGGGCAGATATAACTCAAACTGAGATACAGATTCCACAATTCCAACAGCTTTTCGGTCTGTTTGGACTTCAGTGGGATACCAACTCACACTCACATACAGCTTCAAGCTGGCACTGCACAATCAAGCATAGACCTAAAACTTGGCAAAGTAAAATTGAAGGCATGAACTTTTCTGAGATGCAGATTAGTAATTCCTTTCACTGGAAGCACACAGCAGGCTCAGGCAGGTTCTCACACTGCAACCAGGGCAATCCTTAAAAGCACAAATTCAAAACGGCAGAAGCAGACAGCAGTGAAGAAGGAAAATGAATCTAAAAGAGCCTTGTGTATTAGATTAAAGCAAAAATGATTCAGATTAAAGTTACGTTTCTGTCAGTTGAAACAGCATATAAAAGTTTAAATTATACGCAACTCCTACTGTTGTTTTCCAGAATCTAAGGTGCAATTAAGTCCTTGATACCCTAAATATGCCTCTGCTGCTAAGATTTCCTGGATCAACCTGAGTATGTAATTAGTTTAATGACATGGAGAAATCTACTGTGCCCCCTTGTTATAAAGATGTAGAATTACAATGCTAAGATTAAAGCTGTTAGTATAGCACTTATAACTCAGAAGTGAGAGTGGTCCTCCACTGTGCATTCATACATGCATGCATTAAACATTGTAGTCATTGCTTGCGGCCCATTTAACAATTACCTGCCAGACAACTGGAAGGAATTTGGTTTAAACATATAATAGAAAACTATTCTGATAATTACTATACACATGTCATAGCTCTCTGTTCTGCTTTTCATAAGGATATACTTGTTTTATTTCAACCACATGTGGCTAAGAGGATATATGAAAGTGTCCTACTATGCAAAAATAAAAAAAAATAAAAAAAATCTACATTTCCTTTTTAAGGTTTTCTTGTTACTTCTGCTTTCCTACTTTGATTGCCAGGACTGGGGTCAGGGCTGAAAGTGCTACTTTGTGGCATTTTAACGTGGGAGAGAAAAGTAACAAAAGCAGCAGAAATACTGACCATTTAGGGAGTATTTTCCTCTTGGGAGTCAGAGGTTATTTTTCAATAGATGATGTGTGTTAAATTATAAAAAAATAAATTAAAAAAAGTGTAAAAAAAATGTATCACAAAAAAAAATAAACACACACAAACAGGGTTAACCAATAGATCCACAATTATAATGCCTTTCTGTCAATACAGTTGTATATAAATAGTAGACCCCCTGTGTCTGCAGTTTATTCTAGTAGCTTCTATGCCTTCTTCTTTAAGTTTTACTGAGAGTGAAGTCTGAGGAGTCAGATAACACAGGATGTGGATGGAAGAGGACTGCCACGTCTTCGCCCCTCCCCGCCGGGGGGGGAAGCTCATTGAAGACTTGTAACAGTTCCCCCATGGAGTCTGAACTGATTTTAACCTGCACAACCCGTTAATAACCCCCTGTTAACAAACTGACTGTAGGTGGAGGGGGGGTTCATGTGTGTTAAGACAACCTTGTGCTGTTTGTTTATTAAAATGAGTTCTGCATTAGCTACGACTCAACCGAAGAGGACTTAATCCGTATGAACATCAGTAGTTTACCTCGTAGCTTTTTTAACTTACTGATTACTGTACATGCAGACAACGTCACTGAAGTTAAATTAAATAAAATCAGTGTATATCATGTTGTTATTATGTGTAGAGAAGGAGAAGAAGAAGAGTATCCCACGCTGCATTGCACAGGAATGCCACAAACACAGACGCTAGTTTCACATGCACAACTTAAACTTGCTTGTCTGTATGACTTGGGCTAGCTGAATTTTGTGTTTTATTGATCCGTTTCGTTTCGTCTCGTCATAGTCGTTGCTTGCAGTCGACAACCACCACACAAGCCTTTTAAGTTTCACCAAGGTTAGCTTAGGTTGAGCTAGCTTTAGCTAACTTTCATGGGACACAGGGACGGTGGGTTTAAGCTAAAGTATCAGATGCTAAATGGTCGCTGCTTGCAAACGTAACTTTTTTTTTTTTTTAAGTAAAACTCTGGTTCGTAAGTACATGTTGCTAGGACAGAATATCTGAAAGTGCAACAACAACAACAACAAAAAAAAAGTTTTCCACATTTCATTTGAGGTACGCAGTTACCTTAGTGAGAGCATCCTGGAGCAGAAGTGTGTGTGTCCCCCTTGTCGTCGTGTCTCTCCCCCCCGATGGAAGCCAGAGACCCCGATGCAGTCAGCGGTGAGAAGATGAACACTGAGTCTGATGGTTCGTATGCGGGGAGCTCCTGGCCATCTGGTGGTAAAAGGGCTGGATTTCTAGGAGTCTGGATGCTACGTGCAGATCCTCACATGCAAAAGAGTCTCGTACTACGACAGACTTTTTTGGGGGCTGTCGTCTGTGAAATTTCTAGGGGAGGTGTCTGGTTGACTTGACCCGTTTTGACACCTACATAGAAGAAGAGTGTTTGGGGTTCGTTGCATGCAATTGGACGTTGTAGTTAACTTTAACTGTTAAAGTTAACTGTGCTTGTTGTTTTAATTTCCTCTACAGTCCAATGCTGACTTGCACCCCTTTTAATTTCACTTTATTCATTGACAAAATGTTTTAAGCAATAGGCTAATGCATGTCGAATAATTTCCAGGTGATTTTCTTAGGGTGTTGTTTTCTTAACTTGGCCACACAGTCTAATTTCTTCCCCTTTTTTCACCTGCAGACTCCTCTTCATATTTCTGCCACATTCCAGAAAATTCCTCCCTCCCACCAAAAAAAAAAAAAAAACTGTGACTGGAGGGAGGGAATTCCTCCTGTGTGCTTCTGAGTTCAGCTGGGTGGAGCTAGGCCTAAGTATTTTTGAGTGTGTGTGTGTGTGTGAAAGAGAAACAGTTAAATCAGTGTGATATGTAGTAGTTGCCAGGCACAACAAATGTAAAGTAGAATAATCCCAAATATGTAAATACTACAGTACACACTGTATGTCTTTGGAAAAACAAAATTGGAAGCCTCCATTCAGTTTCAGCAATTCTTAACTGCTCAGTTATGACTCAATGACTCAGCATATGAGTTTTAACCTTGTTGAATAAAATGACTGAAAACAGGAACCGTTTAATGTGAAATGTAATACCGGTACATACATTGATTTATGTATAATGTTCTCTAGAATATCAACAAAGAAATCAATGATTATAAAATATTTATATTGTTTTTATAGGCATAGAGTAAGAAATACTTTTCATGTCAAACTTGTGTGGGAAATCCAAACTTTGAGTGTTCAAAAAAAATCAAACTGTACAGTCTTAGTTTACTTTCCACATTTGTAACTGTAAAAAACAATATTTTTTTCATTTTCTCTCACTGTGAACCGCATTAAAATTAAAGTCATCGTCGGATTTCATCCAATGAGGTGAGTCTGCGCCCAAACAGCAGCTCCTCGTAGGTCAGCAGCTGTTGCAGGAAGTTAATGTTGGGTGCTGTGCATGCCCTCCTCTCCTTCAACCAGCGCAGGGCATGAAGCAATGACCAGCATCGATGCTCCATGAGGAAGGCAAGTGTTAATGCCGAGCTGCGACTCCTGCCCATACTACAGTGGACCAAAACACGACCTGCAGGCTCAGCTTTAAGCGCTTTGTTTATGAAGCTGGACGCAAGTGGTAGTGCCTTCACCAGGTCCTGCTGTGCGTCATCACTCAGACGCAGCCTCAGGTAGCTTAAAATGTTGGGGAAAGCATCTGGGCTGTTTGCAGTTGCATTGACCACATGAGTTATTTGTAGATTCTTGATGATGCGGTAGTCAGAGGCCTGGGAGGCAGATCCCTGGTAGAGGGCTCCTTCCAGGATCTCCGAGGGGTAGATGGTTAGAGTGTGGCGCTCAGGTTCAAGCAGGACCATATGGGGTGTGCAGAGGAAAGGGTAGAGGGTATAGAAGGCAGAGAATCCCCCCAGCAGTATGACAGGGTCCATTCCTAAACCACTGAGCTGGAAGAAACAGCGCTGAAGGTCTGGGGAGTCTACCTTGGCCTTCATACTGCCAACTAAAATAAAGAAAAGACAGAAAAACTCTATATAATCAGACACACTGATAGATTGATAGAAAGCTAAGACGCTGATGCTTAGCAGTTTGAACGTGGATTGCTGACCTGGGCTGCATCCTTCCTCTGCGTACAGCAGTATTATAGAGTACTTCTGCAACTCTATACAGCTAATTAGACAGCCCAACTCAGGGTGGATCACCGTCACAGCAGCCCTTGCTGTTACCATGTGGCTGTCCATGTACCTAACACACAGATTGAATAATAAAATGCACACACACATATATACGCACATGCTCATTGATGTGTTCTTGGTTGTTTTAACATAGGTAGTAATCCATAGTATGATCAACTCTTTGTTTTTTTAACAACAATGTAATACAACATTGTGCAGACTCATGCAAGTCATTATATCTTTGTGATGTTTTTAAGTGATGACATATGTAAAACTAGTCACTTCTAAGGCCAGATTGTGCTATGGATGGGTTATGTTTCAATGTGTTGCCTCAATGTGTCAAATATTCAATATTGTATTTAGACTCTATTTGACGTGGCGTATAAAGAGCACCATGGGGTAACCCACCTTTCTGGGCTGCAACAGTCCAGGATAAGCATATAGTATGGATCATATAGGGCAGGTTGACCATCCTCTGCATTCAGCAGGTTGTACACTTGCTGTGGGGTGATGTATCCTCGCTCTATGCAGGCTGACTCTGGAAGAGAAGGTATCAGCTGCAACTCTTCTTTCTCGCATGCTGCTCGTAGGTGGAAGAAATACAACGAGCGCAGTAAGTTTGTAGTTGTGTTTACAATGATTCAGTAAGCCAGAAAGTGTAGTAAAAATACACCCTTTACCTTTGTTCTGAATCAGTTTGATGGAAGAATGGTCACTGTTAGTTCTATTGAGCTCTTTGTCACAGACGCTGCTCACTGTTTGGGATGTGTTGACAGGTTCTCTTGAGGCCACTCTACAGCTGTTATTCACTCTGGCATGAACACAGTGACACAAACACAGAGGATTGCAATGTCAAGACAGAGATGCAGCAACATTATAGGAAACTTAACTCAATACAAATGAATAACCCCCAATGCATTGTTTTTGCCTTTTACAAGTAAAGAAAAGTAGAAGTACTCTTTACCTGGACAGAACTACGCCCATCTCATTTAAGTAATTGTGCAGATGCATCTGCTGTTCCCACCAGTCCTTCAGTCAAAGAAAATACTTCACAGAGAAGAGACCATGTTGAAATCTTTGAAAAATATTTTCCCCAAAAAAACCATTGAAAAAAACCCCTCAAAGCAGTACTTGTTTGCGAAGCTGCGATTCTGACTCAAACCCTGCTTCACCCTGCCCTTAATTTAGCTGGTGGTCTTGGAAACAGAGTAACAGTTAAGTGCTCTAGAGGGCCACATGGTAGCTGGCTCTGACAGGTGACGAAGGAGAAACCTTGGTAGGAGTCCCACGTCAACCAATTTAACTCTCAATTGCATTGTAAATTGACATTTTGTTGGGATAAGGCTTCAAGTAAAAACTTTCCATACAATATAGGTAGTATTTAGACAGAAGACACTTGATGAGATTGCCATTTTCCTCACAACACAACCCTGGTGATCTTCTGTGCCTCTCCTGCTGCTCAAGAAACTGTCCTCCCATCCACAAGTGTTGAAACTTGTCACTGCCTATTAATAGATCTGGCTTACCTCTTTTGGTATCTAGGTTTCTTTAGTCCAAACTGTTGGCTGTCGTGTGTATGATCATCTTGTTTCAGTCCAACTTTAACTTTGTTAAAGTCAAAGTAGCTCCTCCAGTGCATTATATTGCTTGTTGGGCATATTTTTTCTGTAAGCATAGTGCACCACTACTTGGGTGGAACGATATTTTGTGCTGTAACAGTGTGAAATGGTGTGCAACAGGTTTTGAGGAACATTTTTTCTCTTTTGGTTGATGATATACCGGTAAATGTTAATACCCAACCCACAACAGCATACAGTATATACATAGACCTCTGCCAAAATATTAAAAACCCAGTCTGCATGCTTAAAACAACACCATTTCTGTTAAAATAAACATTTTCTCTGGGCTGGATGTGCCTCTGTTGTTGTCTATCCTCCATGACAAGGATTACAGGGTAGGAATAGGTCTGAAGGTTCAGGGACAAGTGGCCTGGGAGCTTGTCAACCAAGCAGCCTTGGGTATGTGCAGAAGAAAAGTAGGAGACCTTTAGGCTGATTCCCCAAACAAGCAGTTTAGGAGAGTAACCAGGAGAATGTCTGGATAGAGACCTCTCAGGATGACCTTGAGGCATGCTACATTCTCAGGACTGCTCTGGAGGCCAGTAATATTTAGAATAGAGGAAGAAGAGACCAGTGCAGGATCCCCCCTGGAGATGGGCCACAAAGGAAGATCTTCTCTGGTGGGCTGCTAGGAATGAGGAGTTCCTCTGGAGGATTGATGGCTACTGAGAAACCCCTCTGAGGACCAGCTAAAAGGTAGGAAACCTCCTCTTGAGGTTGGCTTCATAGGTTGGCACAAAGAATCAGATGCCTTCTGTCAAAGGTGTGAAAACTCAGAATGGTGACCTTGCAACGGATGATTACTGATGCCATAGGTCAATGAGGGGTAAGGAGCAGACCGGCAACATGTGGGTTGAGCAAGAGGTTGGCACTGGGATTGCTGAGTAGTAGGTCAAAGGCATGGTAACAGCAGCAGATGCCATCTGGAGGTCTGGCTGGGCATCCTCATCCGATGCTGGACTTAGCAGGCTCAGCCAACTGGGGGTCAGAAAGTTCAGGAAGGGCATCAGGATGGATGACCAAATTAGCTTTTTTTGTGCAGCAGGCAACTGAGACTAACAATGGCATCCATATCCATATTCTTCATATAAGACATGTATTCTTCTATAGAAAAAAAAGAGTTCAGGGGAAAAAATAGGCGAAGGTTGAGTCAGCGAAGGGCATGAAGGATCAAGACGAAAAGGTAGTGACTAGCTTGCTTAGGACATGGAAGGCTGCAAGCTCATTAAAAGAGGAGCCTAAATGAATCAAGTGCAGGCAGGTTGCTAGCATGTATGGTTTCAGGCTGGACAATAGCAGGCTGGCTATACTGGAGGGTGAAGTGAAGGCCTTTCTGGCAGGCGTGAGGGATGGTTGCTGGCAGACTGTGTAGCCAGCTGGAGGCTTTGACAAAAAGTTGAAGAGGATGGTGAGTTAGGCATGGTTCAAACCAGAAAGCAGCCCAATGTACGCAAATACACCCAAACGGGGCAGTAAACCAAAGGTTCATAAACACAAAGCACAGTTAAAAACAGGCTTTATTTCCCCATGCAGGTAACATGTGTATCACAAACATTTGTGCACGGACTAGAAAAACAAGATGTGAAAAAAAAAACGTGCAATATGATATAACAAATTGGCAAGTAACAAAGGAAGTAGACTGAGTGAGGAAATGAAATGTAGTAGAAATTGGGGAGGAAGTCTAGTTACTGTAAATGCATATAACCCAATAAGTCAAACTATGTACAGTATGTAACACACTTCAAACAAATTCAATTGCAGTTTAATTGGCTTTACAAGAAACCAACTCCTTGTATCAACTGCAGCTGTCTTATTTGATTTTCTTCATACCATTTATTCAATCACCTATGTGTCTTTCTAAGAGAGGACTGTGTTTACATGCATCAAAACAGGTTATTACTGCCCCCTGTTGTCTTCCTGGGTGGGTTTATTCACTTACAACAGGTGAACACTTTCTGAAAGGTTGAAGAGGAACACAGTGCACACTCATAATTCACAGCCCATGTACACTGATTCTCCATACCAGTGTACATATATTAGTGTACATAGGCTATATTACATATTAGTGTGTTGACATGCTTTGTGTGCACACATAATCATTTACCTTTCTCTGTATTGCAGGTTCACGATGGCAGTTTAAATGAGCTGTGAAAGGAGCCTTCTTCTGATGCCTTAATATTGCTATAGTATTCCGGACCAATCAGAGGCCTTCTCGCAAAACCATCGTGCTTTTGTGAGAGACTCATAATAGGGACCGTCACCCTCCTCGGTGTGAGGACTCTGTTTACTTAAGCAGACCATCCCTGCAGACATGTGGATTGTGGACTCCATGATGCCTTCAGGGCTTACATGCAGCCATAGAGGCGGGGTTGGTAACATAAAGCTTGGGAGGAACTGTCAGGAATGTCACAAACAGGTGTCAAAGCTGGGACGAAACAGTTAAACTATTTAGTCCCACACAACAATAAAGATAAGTCTTAGAATGATTTGTAACATAAAGCCCAGTAGATCAAATTCCTCTTCCATGGCTGCTATCTCCTCCTCTCCTCTCCACTATGTCATAAAATGTGTCAGCAAACACATATATATTTGGATACGACAGATGTCATTTGCACTTACAGACTAAACAACGGTCACAGCCTACTAGACTGCTCCTTTTAAATAATGGGGCAACAGACCAGGAGCAAAGTCCACCTGTAGGCAGCGAGGAAACGCATGAGGTGAGTGCCTGCAGCGGAGAGCAGCTCATTCAGCACAATGGCAAGGACGCGGTTATCAAGACAGTCACTACCGTCTTTATAAATATTATTATTACACTGAATACTATTGTGTGAATAGAGCGTGGAGATATACTGTGACTGTATGACGAATATCAAATGGTGAGTAGTCTGTCTCGCACTTTTCTTTCCAAGGTGTTGACTGGACGAATAGAAGTGAACTCTATGAAAAGGTGCAGGCTTTACTGTAGTTGACTTATTGACTTACCCCTTACGTGAACTGTTCGTTATTTAGGAATTTTCATATCGTTAGGCTAAGTGGTTTTACATGAATGTCCTTATAATATCCGGAATTACAGCCAATATGAACTATGTTCAGATTAGTGGAACTTCCAGCTTGCCAACGACAGACACAAAAAACAGCCTATTAAAACATGAAAGGTTTGAAATTACAACCTGAACCTGCAATCTATGACATAGGTAATTCAATTGTTTTATAACGGTGTAGGCTACAACAACGAATAGAAATGCTTTTTCAGAAGGGGAAGTGCAGAAATATAATGGAATTTGTGTCCTGCCAAAGGTTACAAGTTGGCCTCTATTGACAATGAAGGACACACGATTGACATGGAAAGTTGTTGGGACAATATCAATATTAAAATGTGATATGACTAGTTTACTCATACTATTTAAATTAATACATTTTAAAAATATATAGTCTTTACTTAAAACTATTTCACTAGCTTGCATTAATTTGTGGCAGAATATTATCATTGCCACAGTTAACGGTCTTTACAGAAAACAATCTTAGCTTGAGACCCTTTAACGTCCCCCACAGGATGGTCATACTTAAATATCAGGGGAAATAGTATATTTTGCTTAAACATATTTGTAGTTTAAGTTATCTTTAAAATTCACAAACCCCACTCATAGTGCAAAACAGAATGTAGAGCCACACTATACCCACAATAACAGTAGGCATACCTTTTATTTGATGTCCGTATTCATTTTAAGCTCTTACATTATTCCCAAACTTCAAATCTTCAAGCACTATACAGAAAAACAACAGAAACAAGACCCAGATGATAACCCAGATGTATTTTGAAGGTTTTAAAAAAGTGTGGTGTAAACATACATTCTTGGATTCAATCAATGTATGTCATTGTTTGAGATATTACCCATAAAAAGTAATCACCACATGATATTATTGCTAAGAGCTAAGGGATGGTAATCTATGTCATGCTTTGGAGAACATATTGTTTGTACTTCTAATTTATAATGTTATGCTATTTTTCCTCTTTACTTTAGACGACAGACACCTGGCAGCAATATTTGCACAGAATGACAGTATGTCTTTTAAACAAAAGGTAAACCTGGTTTTCTTTTATAAATCATCATCTGTGTTATATTGTTGCACAGGACAGATATTAAAAACTGTTTTTAAATATCTGAAGTGCCAGATATTACAGTCGGTATTTAAATGTGTCCTTTCTGAGAGCTTATCTGTCAGCTAAACAAATGAACCCACATCACATTACGAGCTTTATGAAAATGAAGTTTAGAAAATAAGTCAGTTGAGTTTCTGATCAGTTTTTTTATTTACAAAAATCCATGTGACAGTTGCACATCATAAATGTCATTTTTATTGCATGACTCATGTTTTTTCTCTGGTGTGCAGTTCAGGTGGAGGTGGAATAAGGGATGGTATCAGACAAAAAGTCTGTCATCTTATCATGCACTGAAGCCGCTGGTCCCCGCCCTCTGCCTGGTGGTCATGGTGATATATGGCCTGGCTGACAAACTAGCAAATTTTGTTGCCAGCATCTTCTTCCCTCAGTATCACTACCCGTATGCAGTGGCTCTCTGCTTTGTACAGGTTGGTTCCTCTGATGGCTGGCTTTGTATTTTCCTGTGGATGATTCACACTCAGCTAAATTATTAATTTAAAGCTGGAGATGCTTTATGAGTTAGTGTATTTTAATCAATTCTGGAAAAGAGTACACACATACAGTAATGGTGGCTCACCTGCTGTTAAATTTCACACAAAGTACTGTGTTTTCTCTGACAGCACGTGTTTACTTAAGCTGCAAATTGTTCATTGATGTTATCGCAGCAAACATTACCCTATGACAACAACGTTGATATCAATTTTGAATTGTTGTTGTTAAAAACTGACATATTGTATTCACATTATGAAAAAAAGGACATTTTTGTTAATCATTGCTGCAGTTAAGTCCATACAAATACAATGAAGTGTTGGCTGCTGGTTACTGTAGCTTTGTCAGTGTTTGCTAACAGTGTGTTGTCCTTGCACACAGAAGGGGGCTCAGTGTTTTTTGTTTTTTTTTAATGTGCATGATCGATGTTTAAATGATTAACAGAAGGACCGACATGTAAGTGTAGATCCATCCAAACTCCCTAATGATGATCTCTGTGAATGACATCGTGGGGATTAAGTGCTTGACCCTAAGTGTGAAAACGTATCGCCGGCATATTGTAAATGACATAATAAATATAGGATTCATACTTTATAGTTTTTAAATTACACTGTGGTGAACAACTCATCAAGGGTGTTTTACTCCACACATGCTCACAATGATTGACAAGAAACAGAAAGGGGGCTGTAGAGAGTGACTGACATCAGTATTAACTCTCTCAGAGTGGAGGTTCAGTGTGACACATGTTGTACGATTGGAGTTGTAGGATGAGTGTTCTAAAACATGTTTGCACTTCCTGGATTTTTTCCTCCATTTGTATGTTTGTGTTGTTGGCCATGATGGCATATACAGTGAATGGAATAAAACCATAATTTTCTGCTTTTCATGTACTAAGAAGAAAATAACTTTATTCTTAGCATATATGTCTGAAGATTCATAAGGCAGTCATGTTGCATTTATTATTTAAAAAAACAAAACTGATAAATTATTCACCTAGCAGAAAATTAAGTTCAAGGACATTGATGAGCTTGCTTGATTTGCTTGTATCTAAAAGTATTCTACCTGGTATCTGATGTCTTTGCACATTAGGGGGATTTATTACAGCTGGTGAAAGTCGTCTTGTATTGTTTGATTTTTAAAGGGCTTTTCACCTCAGCAAGTAGATGAGTAAAGCAACAGGTTTGGTATAAAATACAGCAAGTGTCATGCAAGTTGGGATTTTGTTCAAGTTTTAGATGTTATAAAGCTGTCCTTTTTTTAAATTTATTTTTTTAAATCTTTTCCAGGTTCTGGTCTCTCTCTTATTCTTAAACCTCCTCCACATCGTGGGTCTGGTCCCTCTGAAGTCTTACTCCAGGTCCCTGGGTGAGAGGGTTTTGGTTCCCTCCATCTGTAGCGGCATTCATGCCGTGCTGGTTACATGGGCTAAAACCAGCAGCCCGTATGCCGGCCTCTTCCCCGTCACTTTGCCTCTGCTGCCTGTTGTAACTGTGGGCTTAAGTTTCTGCCTGAGGCTGGCCCCTCCTCCACCTCGCCGCTTCTCTGTTCTGAGTTCCCTCCTGTGTGCGACGTCCTTTGTGATCACAGGTGAAAAAAGAGGATGTGGATGTTATTTAAAGGTGAAATTGATGGTTCTTCTTCTCAGAGCAAAAACCTAATTAACCCTTTCTTTGTTTTCTCTGCAGCCTCCCAGGGTGTAGCAGCTGTTACGCCTCTGGAGTACATGTTTGCACCTCTGGCTTTACTCCTTCACAGTGTGTCTCTCACATGGCTGGCTAAAGTGTCCAAAACTGAGCGACGCCGCCCTCCTGATGTCCGAGCCTCCATTTTTGACATTTATTACACCCAACTGGTGAACCAGTGCTGGCTACTGGGCCTCCTGTGGGTGCTGCATCCTGACAACCCCTGGCACGTGTTGAGTAAAAGCAGCTGGCACAGTTTGCTCTTTCATGGATACCTGCTCGCTATTCTCCTGCTGGGGATGGCGCTGAACTTCCTGGTTGGTGTATCGGCTATGGGTGTCTCACCACTCGCTGCTGCACTGCTACACTCAGCGAGGCAGATGGCGCAGCCGTACCTGAATCTTTTGTACATTCACTCTTAAGGGCTGTGAAAAAAATGTTGACTTCTTTTGTTCTGTTTCCACACCATGCATTAGTTTAATTTATTTAATTCTGTTGGAAACAAAGACATGAACTGTGCTCCTGAGGCTCTCATATAATCTTGTCATCAGAGATTAAACGTATAGTGTCAGCAGGAGTCTAAATTATATGCAGTATTTTTAACCATAAAAACATATGGCTAACGTATAACAAGGTCACGATTTACACTAAGCTCCAAATGTCAACCAGTTGTTGTGTTTTAAATTTCATTTTGTTATACATGTATTTTTTTATTATCAAACTAGTATTCCACAAAAGGCCATCCTGCACAGAGTCCTTTTACTTTTGATACATGGAGTGTATTTGGATGCTATTAATGTACCATTACTGTTAATACAAGATTTGATATGCTCGACTCTTCCTTGTAAAAGAGGTCAAAAGAGTACTTTAACACTGTGGTAATTATACTTAAAAAGCTAACTTAAAGATCAGAGTAATTCTAACACTGGTGACAAGGGATTTTTTGATCACGCTGTAAACAACAGTCCACTTTGTCACATTTACTCAACAGGGTAAAAAAAAATGTTCACGCTCAGATGGTTGACTGAGTGAATTTTTAACCAGGGGTTGTTTTGTTTTTTCCCGAATGTTGCCCATGAATGACTCTGACTGCTAAAGTGAGTCAGATGAGAATGGATCACAACATAAAGGAGATTAACAGTGCTGATAGACTTTTTTAAGTGAAGTGAGAATCTCTAATCCATGTTGTTTTATTATCGCTCTAAATGTATGTACACGTATTTGATTAAAAATAGAGGTCACCATTTGACGTCTTTACATGCTCAAACAAATATTGTTAAAAATATGTCAAATTACCTAAAAATGAAAAAAAGAAATATTTAATTTATTTAATAAACTACAAATACACTGAATGAAGACTTTATTCCAAAAATATTTATTCTTTTTCAAACAACTGAATCGAGTTGCAGTCAACTATACACAAAGCAGTCTGCATTAAAACTCCCGACGTTACCGGCTGTTGAGTCTGGCACTGTGATTTCTTCAAACATGGAAACTAATGACATGTTGTGTTACGTGCTTCTGCAGCATGGCCCTGATTAAACCGGCCTTAAAAGCTTAAAAGTTGTTCCACAAAGTTATTCTAGATGTTCATAGACTAAATTTGCAGTATTAAGGAAGATGAAAACACGTACATCAATCATCAGTATTCACACTTGAACCTGGGGATACACGTCTTCTTTCTAACACTGCTATCAAAGTGAAGGTTAAGTTGTGTAAATCCTGTAAATAATTGTAGTTTTTTGTTTTGGTGTGTTAATTGTATTTGTTTTTAATAATGTTTTAAGCTTGTCTTGTGTTATCGCTCCCTTGAACTTTTTCGTATTTTTACATTATAAACTACAAACACAACAGGTTTGAATATATCTGTTAAAAAAAGGATACTAATATTTATGATGTTTTCCTCATTCCTAAGAAAATACAGATCTACAGTGCAGATGACATTTTTTTGTTAAGAAAAACTTAATGCACACAAAACCATGTTTTGTTCTGAATAAAAGCTCTGCAGGACATGTGAAACACCCATGAGTGCTTCATCGGCACTAATTCTGAAACCACTGCATTATTAATGATGAGTCTACCTCCCGTCCTTTAGGAGGGGTCTGAGTTTGGTGGTAGATGTAGTCCAAGACTCTGCAGCAGGTTAGAAGCCGGCCCAGCCAGTCCGGCCTGGCAGCTGAGAGACTCCAGCAGGTTTGTCACCAGATTGAGATCGACATCAAGAGGCTGAATCTCCTCGTCTGTGTCTTCGATCCCGTCTTGTGTCGGCAAATTGTCTTTTGCTGAGGGATGTGGGGAGCCGTTTTCAAAGCCTGCCTTGCTGTAATTCTGCAGAAAAAAAATGTAGACAGGTTAAGAGTCTTTTAAAAAAAAATGTATATACAGTAATATCTGAAGGCTGGGGCTGAAGCAGGGGGAGCCACATGCAAAAGAGTTTTTACCGTCACATTGAAGCTTTGTCCTATATTTGTGCCCATCAGCTCCTGGTCCATTTGATCCATGTAACTCCTGAGACCATCCAGAGTTTCTGTCCCGTTCGTCTCTGCATGACCAGATAAACCCTCTTCTTTCTCTTCCTCCTCCTCCTCCTCTTCCTCATCATCATCTTCATCATCTAGATCATCTGAATCGAGCTCTTCTTCTTTGCTTCCTGTAAAAGTATGAGAAAAAGTAAGACTCAAAAAGTAAGAGAAAAAAACAGATTCAGTATACAGAGGAAGAGTTGGTAACCTCATTTTCATGTTCCACATCTTTCACACCAGCTACATACCCAGAAGATTGTCTAGCGCACTGGCCATGGAGTCAGGGTCAAAACTAAAAGGCTGAGTTGAACTGCTCCTAAAATACACAGAAAACAGTAGGAAACATGAGTTTTGCATCCAATTGAACCTTTAAATCCTATTTTCTTACCTTAATAAGATTTAATGTACTCAAACATATGTGTGGCTGTGTTTTTCTGTTAATTTCTTGCCACCATCACCCCAAAAAATACACAAGAACTCAAATCCTTATTTATGGGCCAAATAAGAGCCTTTTTTAAATATCTTAAATAAATACAGGAAAAATTAAGAAATAATTCTGACGATGAGTCTCACCAGGGCAGTTCAGCTCCCTCGTGCGATGACATTGCGTTGAGGAACTTCTTCATCCCCTGACTGACTGCTACCAGGCTGTAACCTGCCTCCTCGTCCTCTTCCTCCCTGCTGTCCTCTGTCTCCTTCCTCCTCTCCTCTGCCGCCCCGACATGCTGCCTTTGTTTGGTGGAGCTGGACTTTTGGCTGCCAACACCGGCCCGCCCCCCACTCCTCTCCTGCAACATGCGCTCCAAGTCCTGTGCTGTGATATCCATCCAGCTATCACCTGGAGACGGACAAAAAAGACAAACTAATTATGGTGAATGGTGGAAAGAGAGGACAGGTATAGAATGTAGGATACAATATTGGCAGAAACAAACATAAGCAATTTTGACTTTCTTGCAAGGTCATAAAAGCCTCTCAGTATAATAAGTAAAATTATTAAAACTTAAATTACCATCATTACCATTTTAGACAAACCATGGACACCACTTTTTTTTAAATGTCAAACCTCCTCTACGCAAAGAAAATATTAACAATGTACATCCCTGGTAAAGTCTGGAGCAGCGATAGTTTCTTAAGTTTTGTTTTTACACAATTTGATACTTTACATTAGACCCAAATGCGCCTGAAACAAATTCAGGTTTACAACATCTGCACTAAAACACCATTGCTCTTCAAGTTTGCAAATTCTGAAAGTCAAAAGATGTTCACTCACTGTCCTCCAGGGGGAGCTCTGACTCTTGTTTCCTCAGCTCCTCCAAGTTGAATGGAGTGCAGCTGTGCAGCAGCTGGAGAACCTCCTCTCCTGGGGATGACGCACTGAGACGGCGGATACAATATACATTAGGCACAGTCAGGCGGGTGCACTTGAATTTCAAAGGCAGATAAATACATAATAATAGCACAGATGCATGCACAGCACTCACCTTGATTTGGAGGCGACGCTCTGTTTGAAGAAGTTTTCTGCAGATTTTGTAAGTTCTCTATAACTGGCCGAACCCTCCAGTTCTCCCTGCATTTGAAGATAAGAAGACTTGCTTTAGGTCCTAACTAATATTGCTGCTTTGGTAAGTTGCACCCTTTTTCTAGTTGTAATTTTTTTTAAAAGTGGGACTAACCCGGAAGTAGCCGTTCTTTTCAGACTGTTTATGAAGCTTTTCCACTGAGGGTTACAACTGACAGGGGCATCAGGCTCTGAAGATGGCAGTCTGCACTTTGAGCACAGGATCTCAAATCCATGGGCCTGAGGGCAGGACACACACACACACACAAACAGACACAGACTCTAATCAAAGTACAACACTAAAGATCCCTCATTAAAGGCCACCATCAACCTTAAAATGCCAAACAAAAGAATGATAATCAGAGATGGATAGAATCAAGAGTACACACAGATGATGGCCTACCAGTTTCATGCCGAGCTCATGGGCTTTGTGCTGCGGATGAGAGCGAGGAGGAAGGGTGAAGCCGCTTCTCCGGTCTGGCGTGAACTGTTGCTGCTGCAGCTGAGCGTACAGGCAGCGTGTGAATGTCACCTGGAAAATAGAAAAGACAGATAAACATTGCATGTAAAAATTACATTAAGGCTTTAACTTACTAATGAAAACAGAAGAAAAAAAAAAGAAGAAAAAAAAAAAAACAGTGATCACAGTTATGTGCATGAAAAAAGTGAATACAAGAGCCATGATTTCAAATGAAATATATCTGTTATAAAAAGTAAAAAAAGGTCAATATACTGCTGCTGCTGCTGCTATTATGAATTGTGATGTGTGTTTACCGAGGTTAAGACTCGTGTATCAGGTGGAAAGGCCTTGAAGCTTCGACACGCCTGCAGGTCGACCGGATCCCGCAGGTAAAATGCTGAAACTGCAGGGGCAACCAGGTCCGGTCGCTGTGCTAGAACTGTTGCAACCCCTGCAGGTATGAAGCAGTGAGCACGATGGAGGGAGGTTTGAATCTTTTCTGGGTACCTTAGGTGATAGAAAAGAATAACACATAAAAATGTGGATTTAAATACATAGTATATGTTTCAAGCATGCAGAAAGTCTCTGTACATATTTATACAAAATGTATGCTAGTACACATTTCCACCTTCCAAGTTTGTAGTAGAGATAATATACAAAACTGAAACTGAATCACAAAACTCATATTTAGCTTTTTTCCTCTCACCAGAATGTAGAGTCTGTAAATGCAGCTTATAGTATTTTCATTATTCTCTTCAATGACAACATACACTGATGGTCAAAGTAGTCTTTGTGAAATGTAACTATACGTGTATATACTGCACAACATCTTTACATTCAAATAGATTCTTAGACCCTGCTGAATGCTCCTCACCCTTCTAGTCGCTTCCTCAGGGCTGAACAAATTTTGGGGTTTGCTCTGCAGGCCTCTGGGTGGTTGGAGAGCAGTGCTAGAGCTTGTGCCACACTTGGTACCACATCTTTTGAAGCCCCCACTGGACAGGATTTGGAGGGACAGGGCAGAATGTGTAGCTCTCCCCTATAGAGGAAGACCTGAAGACAAAAAAAGAAACGAATGAGTGAAGCAATGAAGACAATAGAGACTGTAAATACAGACAATGTCAAGAAGAATAAATATTTATTTGGAAAATGGCAATGCCAGTAGGTTTTCATGTTTTTCCGACACCTGACTTGTGATAACTCTGCACCAGTAGAGCATGAATATGATAGCAACAATATGTCTGTTTTCCGCCTTACATAAGAAAGTTGATCTTATTCACAATCACAACAACTTTGAAAATGGACGATAGCGTCTCCTCCATGTCCACAGATCAGCCCTGTGACATACTTATAGCACTGTGTAAGTTTGGCAGCGGGCTGCGGCTCTCTCGCGAGACGTTTGTACAGTTTTATGGCACAAGCCAGTTTGACACAACGGCTGAGGAGATGTCAAAGGACAGTGACGGATGGAGCTAAAAAAAAAAAGAGAAAGTGAGGGAGAGTAACTGGGAAAAGAAGTCGGGTGGACTGTGAGGGAGAGGCATAACAGTAGTGTGTGTTTTACCACAGTGCAGTTACACCCGGGGCATTCGGTGGATGCCGAAGTGCACCAAACCAAATTCCTACATAATGTTGCTTTAACTATCAGAGACATAGAATGAAGCCATAAAACAGGAGATCATAACAGAGCAGAATCAGTTCGCCGTATTTAGTGTCAAAGGTTTTGGATATTTTGAAGTCCTTCAACATGTCAACCAGGGTAATTTGATAATATACTCCAATCTTAATGGACATGTAAACATTGGTAGATTTACTTTGTCATTGTTGTTGCAATTCGATAGCTGCTTCATTTGAACTGACATTATGTCAGCAGTAAATTAAGTAGCAATGGGAATTTAAAGGGCTAAACCAACCACATCTGCAATCCCAGCTTGTTAACTCACCCTGTTTTCACTGGTATCGGGATTCAGCCACTTGGGAAGATAATCTGCTGCTTCAATCAGAAGAAACTCCCCATCATTGTCCTCAATGCTTCACACACAAACATCAAGTAGAAGTCAGAAACAGATGCAAATAACAAACAACTCATTCACATGTTGGTCATATAATAATTTCCCCTCTTAATTTATATTTAGGAACTCACCTGGCTGCAAGATCTGGAAAGGCCTCTGTAATTTGCTGCAGCAGGTAAACAACGAACCACTCGTCTCCACATTGTCTGCAAACTGAGTACTACCTCCAATGTGAGCAGGGACATCTCCTGTGAATACAGAAGATCACACATGTGTGTTTTGAGCACATAAAAACTGTACAAATGTTTATAGTTCATCACTGGGATGTTGACGTCAACATACCTTTCTCAGGAAAATACTTGAGGTTGAAAGGATGATGATGCCAGATGTATTGTATCAAGAGGGGAGCAACCTTTGCCAAAATCTCTTCCACGAAATGTGTGAGATGCTCCTCAATCTGCTGTGAAGTTAAAGCAGCTGGCTTGATCAAGAAGAGTTTGTACTGAACCATGTCCTCCTGAACCACTCTCCTCTGAAGGACGTCCATTGTAGCACTTATTGAACTAAGATCTGAAAATAGACACAGGCTAAAAGTGATCATCAAACATTGATATGAAAACCAGCTAGAAAGTAGGAGGGAACTGGAAGCATGCCTTCAAAGTTCAATTGAACAGTTAACAGCTAGAAATATACGATTAATACAATTAAAAGTGTCAGACAAACTCACCTTGTCTTTATTGAATCAGAACACGTTGTTCAAGTGAAGTCCAAATAGGAGCCGAGATATTATCAGAAAATACCTCAATCACTTGTTCAAACGTTGCTCTCTCGCCTTCTGTCACTGTTTAGGTCCTACTGTAAATTCCCCTCGACCATGCACATCGTGTAGCGTAGAATAGTTCCTATATTTGTTATCGAGCAACATTCTCTGCTTAAAAAAACAAAACAAAACAATAATTCACCAACATTTCACATCTCAAATGAAGCTTTTAACTAATAACAAATAAAGAAGAGGCGAATAATTATTAACTAAAAAAAAAAAGCATCCTGGCATCACGCAACTAACGTCACGCGGACATAGTTCTGGAACGCAATCCCGTTGTGGCAAAGGCTGCTGGGACTTGTAGTAGTTGAACCAATTCTGTCGCTGCTACTTTTCGGTCGCCCGAAATCTATTTCCCATGAGGCCACGCGGGGTAAGGTTAGAAGCGAGCTGCGTATCCATGACAGCCGTGTTATTGTTGTTAGTGCTAGCATTAGCATAGAAAATCCCCTTAGCTGAGCCAACGTTGTACATCATTGTTTTTTTTTTTAAAGATTAAAACTTTATTCCGATGCAACATTTGGAGCACTAAATTCAACGCAACAGGGAGTGTCATTTGAGGGAAACATATGCTATGCTGTTCGTGCCTTTTTTTTTAATTTTTAATTTTTATCTTTATGTAATTAGCTGCACAAAAGGTTGTTTTGTTTTTTAACTGGAGGAAATGTCAGCCCTGCCTCCACACTGTTCCCACAGAGAGTCCAGGACTTGGGAGGCTACAATGAGAGACGGGGGCTTAAGACTATAAAACGGAGACAGAGGAGATGATTTCACGATACAACAGGAGACCCGTATCGCACAAACTAGAGATGTGAGTACTGGATGTGAAGCCTAAACATGAACACTGTTTGCAAACCAGTTATCAAAAGGCTGAAAGCTGTTGTTCTGCACTGGAGGAAATGTGAGTTACTGGCTTGTAGACCATTATGTGTAAACTAATATTTCTATTGATCCAGACAGTCCATCTGTTACATCAAGATCTGGCACCTGGCTTAAATAGACTGTGCAAATACTAAGGAAGTATATTTGAATTAACATTTTTCATCTGTGTTTATGTTGCACTATCTTACATTTAGTCAGCAGCAGAATTAACAATACATTGTTTTTATTTCAAGGGCAGTATGATCAAGAAAAACAGAGACAACATGACATGACATTCATTTGTGTCTTTTATAGACTTTAGACATTTCACACCGTTTCACTATTGATGGTGCGCAGATGTGATCGTTGTCCAATGCTGTCTTTGTTTTCACGCAGTCGCGGGTTGTCCCGAAGCAGCCTGGACCACCACCCTCTCCCGGGGGAGGCAGATGATAATGAAACCCCTCAGCGCTACCTCCGTGACCTCCAGGAAGCTGTCTCTGCTCACAACAGGTGACAGGTTGCTGCACTTGTTTTACACGCAGGAAGTCATGAAGGCAATTACTTGGAGATGCTCAAAGAAGGCAAAAATCAAACTACTTGTATGTAGTGCAGAACAAGCCCGACATGCCTGTGTGATTTGTAATGTTACACCATCTTGGGTGGATGGTTGATTCTCAGAGCTCTCGCCATGTGAAAGGAGACACCAAGAAGCAGTGGATTAATTGATATCACATTGCCTCCTTCAGATGTGCAGTTAAAAGAATACGTAATGAAGCAGGCTTTTGGAATATTGAATTACTTTGACATTTGCCCTTTATTTTCCACTTTGAAACCTTGCCTATGATAACGTCAGCAACAGCTCATAGAGCAATAAGAGACCCCGTAAATTCTGGGATTGCTGTGGAAACATAAATTGCTGCTTAAATCTCCTACTTAGAAAAATACTTATCCATTGAGCATAAACCTGACGACTTCCTTCTCCTTTTTTTTTTTTTTTTTATGTAGCTCTGACACGTCTGCTGCTTCTGGCCACTCCAACTGTCCCACCGTGATCTCAGTCGACTCCAGCCAGTCCTGGTCAGGTATCCACAGCTCCACAGGCACGGGCATCTCCACAGAAAGGAGCTCTGTTTTCTCCTGGGGCTATGATGTAAGTCTACACCTGAGAAGACCATCTTAATATAAAGCAATTAGACCACAGACAGCATTGTTTTTTCTTAAAGCTTCCTTGTACATAAAATACCTGATGCCTCTGGGTATAGGTATATTTTCACATTAGCCTTTCTAGTCTTACCTTTTTTTGTTTTAGCATAGGATGCATAGATCACAAACGCATATATCCATATAGGCTGTAGGAGATAATTAGTATGCATGTTGAAGCTTGTGGTGAGAAAAGAAAAATAATATTGGGATGCCAGCAACGGAAGAACCAACTTAAAAGCAGTCAGCAGAGTCATTTCAGTCATGGAGCTGGTGTATAACAACAGAGGAATGACTCTATTTCCTCCTTGTGTTTCTTCATCTTTCTGTTTTCGTGTCTCACAGGAGTTTGACAAAGCAGCGTCACGGCAGGTGCAGCAAATGTTTGAGGAGATCGACAAAGAGCTGTATGAAGGGAGAGGCAGCGGAGGAGGGATACTCCAGGGGCTGCAGGATGAATGTCAGCAGTGGGCTACACGTTTCCCTCATCTTAGGTATGTTATCCAAAGTTTCATTCCAACCTTTTGCTGCAGGGCACAAGTGGGATCAAAGATTAATACCGAGTGTGGCTACAAATCTGAAAGAAAAGCCATTCAATTAGTCAATGAAAACACAACTCTTTTGACTATATATGCATTGTTTTTCTCTCAGGATTCTGGGGACTCAGCTGGTGTGTCCCAGTGATGAGGGCTTCCAGTGGTATGCTACTTCAGGAGTAACAGCTCTGCCAGCAGCCCATCAGCAGGCAAAGAGAACAGTGTAACGTCCCAGGAGAAAGATAAGGGAGGCACGGAGTAAGTCTTAACTGCACTGACTTACAGTTGACAGACTTAAAGATGACAAATTCACCTGTTAGATTAATTTCCCTGGCGTGAGATACATTTTCTTGAACCTTTTAAAGCAGATATAGCACTGTATAATAGGACAAGGTCAAAAAATATGTTGGGTGTTATTAGAAATTCCAGTTTAAAGGGATATAAAGGCAGATTGCATTTTGTATCAGTCATCATTCTGTATAATGAAACATCTTTCCATAAATCAGTCAGGGCAAATACAGTGCTTCGAGAAGCATTATTAGCATTATTATTATTATTATTATTAGCCTTAGCATTATTACCACAGTCAGTAAAACTGCGTTCTATTCTCCTATTTAATAGATCAATCAGTCCGTCTGTAAAATATCAGAAACTGTAGAAATGCTCATCACATTTCCCAGAGCCAAAAGTGACATCTTTAAAATACTTCTTTTGTCCAACCAGTAGCCAAAAGCTCTCCATTGACTGTCACAGAATACATCGAAAGTTTGCTAGTTCTCTCATTCAAGAAGTTACTACGAGCTCCACTTGTTGATGTTTTTGCTTGAGATAAATTGGCAATTATTTTTGGATCAATCTTTTGTCATTACATATGCCAATGTTTACTGGGAAACATCTCAGTTTGATTTGAATCAATCTTTGTTACTTGCAAACGCTCCTTTATGTATATTTATTTATTTAAAGAATTTTGCTTAAAAATATTGTCTCTTTTTGAAAGGCTGTTGGTCGGCTGTCCATATGACTGGGGTTGTTGCATTAATTATGGAGGAGTCTTGGGTTTTGTGACCTACATGATTTGGCTTGTTGATCATGTTTGTGCACCACGGTCTTGTGGTACAGAGTCCAGTACTGCGACTTTTAATGGTAAAGCAGAGAGTGGACAGTAGTACGTATGTAAGTTATTGTTAAATGATGCAGCTTGTGTGGGCTTTCGTCTGTGAGCATGCCATTTAATTTGTACGCATTAAAGTGGCAGTTAGCAATATAATCATTCCAGGGGGAAAAAAATCTTCCACCTCTTCCTCTTCTGCAGTACCTTAGATCACTCGGCTAAGCCCCTCCCACCAAATGATGCACCAAACATTGCACAGAGGCTGTTGTCACTATAACTGTCTCTGATCTACTTATTTAGTTATGTCAGACTCAGAGGAAAGAAAACACAGACAGGCCATCAATATAATACTAAAATAGTTGACGTAGCCACAGTTGTATGCAGCACAGGATTTGTGCTCCACCGAGGCGTGAAGAGACAGAGAGCAAGTGAGTGAGTGAGTGAGAGAGAGAGAGAGAGAGAGAGCTGCCTTTACTGGTCACGAAGAAGACAGATGATAAAAGTTTGTACAGAGTCACTGTTATTGGCTAGATATGTGCAAGCTATTAAAAAAAACTGCTGGTAAATCCAAAGGGGTGGGCGCTCACAGACACAGATCAGACACATTTATTTTGAGGAATATTTAAATGTAATATTGTTAGTGACATGTGACGATCAAAATGTGTTGTTTTAAGCAACATTCCAATGATGCCTACTGTGGCTTAAAGGTGTGTAACTATGCGTGCCCTCGTCTTGGGTTTATAGGTTGAATGTGCAGGGCAGGAGAGCGGCACTCACTAAGTCCCTCTCAGCAGAGTGGGATGAGCCTCCTGACACCTCCAGTGGCTCCAGCAGCCATGACAAGCCGAGAGTGATTGAAGTGGAGGGTCAGATGGAGGAGTACCTGGCTTTTGATAGCAGGGATTTGTAAGTTTCTCCCTCTCCTCAGCTACACACTTTTGTTCTAATCCTAGGCAACTAAAGCTTAACATTAGCTGAGTTACATCCAAAATGATTACTTTTATCTCTCTTCTACAGGGAGGATGAGTGGGAACAGGATGGCCGAAGGTTTCACTGTCTGCCGCCTGTCTCGCCGTACCGCTGTCGCCGTCAAGCCATTTTGGACCTGCTGTTTGATGACGTGTGGCAGCATCTGGTTGGCTGGATGAAAGAGCTGGTTCAACGCCACTGGGAAGGCTGCACCTCAAGTAAAGATCAATTTATTTATTTTCATGCGTCCATAATGAATTTGATCAAATGGCAATGGGAAGAGTTCTTGTGTTTGATTTGCAGATGATGACAAGATATCTGGGAGCTTGAGCCCCGTGCAGCAAGACTCCCAGAATCCCTTCATGCTGCTGT